ACCTGGGTCTTGAGGCTGGAGCACCACTGCCCTGCCTCCCTCCATCCAGCACAGTCCTTCTGGTGACACCCCACTGTCACGGGTGCAGCCTCCTTACTGGAAGGCGCCTGAAGATTCGGCAGGTGATGTGAACAGTTGTATCTGCAGTCACGAATGGTCCACCGTTTTTATGGGTCCTCCCTATGGATGGCGGGAGAGGCTATCAGGCTGCGTATTACGTGGGTCCCTACCCTCTTCCTCCTCTCCAGCTCTCCTTCCTGCTCCTGAGGGCCGATGAGAGGGAGTAAAACCAAGATCAAGATCTAAGGCCTTCCATCTGCTGCAGTTCGTTAAGGAAAAGTAGATGACCACAAGCACTGGTGTGTCAGCCATGATCAGTAACACGCTACCTAGGAACCCCTGTCCCATCACTGACTGGGACACCTGGTGTGTGGCGATACTGCAGGAAGAGGGCTCGGGAGACTGGCGTGCACCCACGCTGACACCTGCATAGCTTGGCCTCAGTGCCAGGTTGACCAGTGGACTTGCAGGGGCCCAGAGGGACCGTCTGTAACCCAGAGATGACAGCCTTCATCCCCCACCTCCCCCTTGCTCCTGCACCACCCCAGTCTCCCGGCAGAAGAGCAAATGGACTTTTTCAGGAGCCGCAGATGACAGGGTGGCATCCTTCTGTGCTCCTCCCTGCAAGGACACAGCGCCACAGTGCCACCATCTAAAGACTGAACCCGCCCATGGAACTGGCCAGGGCTCTGGGACATGGAGAGTGGCTGCCTGAGCTCCGTAGTCCCCTTCTCCCACCCACCGTTCCTTCCCAGGCCCCAGAGGAGGTGCTTGGGCTTGAGGTAGCAACAGGGACCCAGGTGGAATCCAGAAGTCGAGAGAATCTCAGAGAGATCCCTAGAATCCATAGTTCATTTTCTCATTCATTCATTCATTCATTCATTGCATAGGGTGCAGGAAGCCCGGAGATCAGGGAGAGACACAGACAGCCCTGGGGAGTGGAAGTGGCTTGGAGAACAGAAGGGTTGTTGTAATGCAGCGTCATCAGCGCTGTCGGGCATTGCGATGCCAGGAGAACATAGCATGTGGAGCAGCTTCTGCCTTCAAGAATCGGGCAGGTTTCACAGAGGTGGGGACATTTGGTCTGGGTCCTGAGAGATGGGTAGGAGTTCCTGCGATGGGAAAGAGGACAGGACATTCCATGGAGATCGTGTGCAAGGGAATGGAACATTCAGGAAATAGGTAAATATCAACAACACCAAAAAAAAAAAAATAGTGCCCAGAGAGGAAGGGAAAGGCTGAAAAAGTAGAATATGATGAGGGAGACGATGCTGAGGGGTGAATCAGGGAGAAGGGCCTGGGGTGGAGCGGGAATGGGGAGAAGGCCTAGGGTGGAGTGGGAGGGGGAGAAGGATTTCGGATGGAATGGGATGGGGGAGAAGGGCCGGGATGGAGTGGGATCAGGGAGAAGGGCCCGGCGTGGAGTCGGATGGGGAGAAGGGCCCGGGGTGGGTTGGATCGGAGAGAAGGGCCTGGGGTGTTCTGACTCGGGGCCAGGGAGAGGCCCCCTCCTGGGTTTGGGGAGGTGCTGGGGCAGGCCCAGATCTCCCAGGCTCCCTGGTGAACAGTCAGGGCTGCACTCTTTGAAGGTCACCAAGCCTGCAGGGCCCTGGAGGGAGAGGTCGTGACTAACTTAATGCTGTCACTTGTGCCGCACACAGCGGGGCCCACCCAGGGGGAGGGCGAAAGAGCAGGGCGGCTGCGAAGCCCACTGAAGTCAAGAGGTGAATCAGAACAGTGGCGGAGGGAGACCCCATGGAATGCATGGAGTTGTCCGAGGGGAGTGACTTGCAAGTGAGGCAGCGGACGAAGGAGGACCAGGAAGACACTAGATGTGACCTGTCGTGGTCCCTTTCCCCTTCCTTCGCACCCAGTCTCTTTTTCGTCCTTTCCCCCAGTTTTGGCAGCCGGTGGGGGGTTGGGGGGGAGCACTGGGAAGGACAACCGAAGCCTACAGGTTGACACCACGCTCATTGCAGGCCGGTGGCCGCCACCTCTGTCCGCCACCCGACAGGACCCGTCCACGAGGTCCCAGCCAGAGGACGGTGCGGAGGCGTTGGCCGCCCAATGGGCTGCAGTTTCCCTGCTCGCCTTAGAGGTTTTTCTTAGTGAAGTGTCTGCCATCTTGTGGCTAAGGCTGGTACTGCCTGGGCCCACCAGCAAACCTCCCTTCCAGGCTCCCCAAGGGGGTCCCTGGGCCTGTAGGTGGCTGCGAGGGGAGGAGGAGGGGAGCTGGGCAGTGGTGCCGGCCTCCCTGTATGAACCCACTTCCTCCCACGCTGTGCTCAGAGAATCTTCTGAAGACAGCAGCCGTGCCTGGGAGGCCGTCCTTGTGCCTAGGAGGACAGGGAAGAGGGTGGATCTTAGACACAGGCAGGCTGGGAGGTCTGCACAGGGGTGGCTGTAGAACACGGGCCGCTCCCGTACACAGGCACAGCTCACGGCTGGGAGCGAGGCCCCCTCAGCAGGCGGTGTCTGCCGTGGAGTGGGTGGGCGCTCTGAGGACCCTCACACCTGTGGGCAAGAGCGCACCCGGGCACTGGGCCGAGTAAGTCTGTGAATCCCGCTCGCGTTGTGAATCCAGAGCCCTTGGGATCCGATTTTTTATTTGCTATTTGGATACAGCTGTGAGAGATGAGAGATTATTTTACATCTCTCAGTTCTCCGAACTTGCCTTGGACCAGGAACGTCAGGCCCTCACCGCGCCTTTTTCTCGTCTCCAAGCTCTCTGGTGCTGCCTGGAGCAGATGGCACCCCCCACAGACGTCGTCCTTACTGTCGTCACCAGAATATTCCATTTCCACAGCCACCTGGCATCCCAAAGCCTTCCTTCAGTGGGCAGCTTCTTCACAGGCAAATGCTAGCGATCGCTCAAGTCCCACCGCGGGCACATACTCCATTTCCAAGGAGGTCATTGCTAACTCTAAATCTACCCGTTAGTTAGCCAACCCCACATGCTCATTCTTAGAGAGGTTCTGTTCGCTGAAAACAGTCTGCAGCCAAATGCAGTGTGAGCTGGGGCCCAGTCATGGAAACAGAAAGCTTCCATTCCATCAAGCTGGATGGGTTCTACAAAAGGAATTCGGTGTTACAGAATCGTTAGCAGGGCTGTTAGCGTGAAGGTCAGGGAAAAGCACCCCAAGATTTCAGGATACCAAGATGTTACTGAAATTGCCAGAAGTCATTGCTGATGGCATTCCACGGACTCTCCGGAGAGGGCCGGGAGGAACTGGCAGAGTCTCGATTCTGCTTCCTGCAGAGTCCTGCGCTCATCCTCACAGCTGCGCCCTGCAAAGAATAGCTTCTCCTTTTACGTAGCCTGCCAAATTTCGTGTGAGTTTCTCTCATTGGTGGAATCTGAAGCAGGGCCTTGCTGGCAGCAGAATCTGGGGAATGCAGTCTGCGAGCTTTCCGCCTGTGTGTACCAGGGTGAGCTGAGAATGTCAGGGACCAAGGCACAGTGTCTGACACACACTTTTAAATACGGGTGATAATAATAGGACTTCCTTCCCGTGGCTGTGGTGAGGCTAAAATTAACATGTGTGAAGTCTTTGCACAGATCGTGGCATATGGTAGACCCTCAATAATTGCTAGTTTACAAAAAATTGTCAAAACTATATTAGAATGACTTCTTATTCTCATTCCTGACCCCTGCAAGAAAACTGACTGCCTCTGAGCTAGCTGGTCCAACCCACCCGCCTCGATGGGGACCCTGCCCCTTATCGTTCTGGAGCTGCTGGGCCTCGAGATCCTGGATCGGCCTTATGCTGGCTCAGACGGTGAAACAGAGATACAGGAAATAAGTGACATTTCTCAAGAAAAACCCAAAGCAGTGAATCCTGCTGAATATTAATATTGGATGCACTGTGCTTGGCAGACTTGAAGACTTCATCTCACATGGACCAGCGGACAGTCAGAGTGTGGTTGGTCCCCTCGTAAAAACACAGGTCCTGGCTCTGCTTTGCAGCTCTGTACCAGATGGAGGCAGTGAGAGCGGGTTGAGCCTCTGTGGCCCTGTGCTTACATGCTCCAAGCAGCCTGCAACAGGAAAGAATTAGGGCACAACTGAAAACCAAAGGGGAAAAGAAGCAGGCTGAAATCCACGGGGAGCAATGTCTATTTCTTAGTCTGTCTCCTGCCCCAAATAGCCCCTCTCTCCTCTCCCAGCTTGTGTTGACGCGTGTCTATCCCTGGCAGCAGATGTCACTGGGACGTAAACTAGGACGCAGAGGGCGGTGATGAGCCACAGGCCACGTCCTGCCCTGCCCTGACTCCCCAGGATCCCTGGCCTGGAGTTCAGAGCACAGACCCCAAGTGACGCCCTGCTCACCAGGACGTGCCAACAAGGTCCTGCTCCCCAGAGCCACAGCGAGGGGGGGGACCCTCTGTCTAGCCTGGGAGTGAGCTGGGGTCCTGTTCCTGAGCTGGTGGGCAGATGGGATAGCGCCAGGTAGAGTTGCAGCCATTCCTTCCGTCCCTGCTCCATCCCTACCCTGTCCACCCGTTTCATTCTCTCCCACTGCAGCCCTGCTGAGCCCTCTCGGGGACATCCATTTGTCCTCGGACACAGGCAGGGAGCCATGCTTACCTGCTGTTTCCCCTGGGAGAGCTTTGGGGCAAGTTTCAAACAGGCCCACAGCATCCAAACCAGGGCCCCCAACTTGCACCTGGGACAGCAGGGGTGTGGGGGTACAGTGTAAATTACAGATTTAAAAATCTGATATAAACCTGATTTCAGTTTCCAGTCAACTGAGGCACAGCAAAGTAAGTCCCTGCCCAGCATCACTCCACTTGGAATGCACAAAGTCCAGCCCAAAGGGACGCACTTCTCATCCCGAGCCATGCGTCCGCTCCCTGCAGCCCTGGCCCCTCAGTGCCACCCCTCGCAGGGGCCGTCTCTCTAGCATGGGAGCTGATGGTGCCTTTCCGTGTCCCCACAGGTTCTTTCAGAGCACGGCTTTGGCCCCATCACTACCGACATCCGGGAAGGACAGATTTTCTACTACGCGGAAGACTATCACCAGCAGTACCTGAGCAAGAACCCCAACGGCTACTGCGGCCTTGGGGGCACCGGCGTGTCCTGCCCAATGGGTATTAAAAAATAATTTCTCCCCACATAGTGGGCCTTTGCGGTTCCAGTAAAAATGCTTTCAACACATTGGGCAGTGTGTGATTCACAATCATGGCATTTGAAGTGCACAAAGTACAAAGGAATTTATAGAGATCTGGTTTTCTGAAGTATAATCTACAGGAGACGCGATGGCAAGTTGATAAAATGTGATTTTTCTCCTAATAAGTTACGGTGGGAGCAGAGCTGTGCAGTTTCCTGCGTCATCTGGGGTCTGAGTGAAGATATCGGGGATGCTGTGTTCACCCTTCTTGGTAGAAGCTAAGGCATGAGCTGGGAGGTTGCTGGACAGGGCGGGGGACCCCAGAAGTCCTTTATCTGTGCTCTCTGCCCACCAGTGCCTTACAAGTTGCAAACGTGTATAGCCTCAATGACTCATTCACTGAAATCCTTCGCTTTACCAAATCTAGACATGCATAGGGGCTTTCTCTTCCTTTTCAGCCCTCTCTGTGCAGAGAAAAGATGTGAGTCTGCTTGATGAATTCTAATGCTTTGCTTAGAGCTATGAGAAATGTTTGGTTTAATAAAAACCTACAGTCCAATAATGCAAACTGCCTGACGTCTCCTCTGTGTTTGACTTGCTTAGGTAGGATATTTTTAAGTGCTGTAAGATGAACTTAACGGCTCTAAACAGCTTGGGAGGGAAAAAGCCTCAGAGCCATTTACCCCCAAATGGGAACAATTCGGATTGAAATTTTTGGTAAACATGCACACCTCTAGCTCCTTGCAACCTGAGTAATAATAGTTGTTCTCCAGGTGCCTGTCACATCCCTCACATCATAGACTTTTCTAGTTAGAGCAGACCCCTTCAATCTCTGCCCTTAAGAACCTTTATATTCCAGACAAGGAGATGGGGGCATAAGCAATACACATGTAAACAAATGACGAAATAAGATGATGTCAGGTTCTGATGAGGGATGTGAAGATGATGAATGGGGTAAGACAGTAAGTTGCGTCTGGGGACTGTGAGATTGTGTTCAGGGCTGTTTTAGCGAGGTTGGTCAGGGAGGCCTCCGTGAGGTGGGTGAGACTTGATGTATTAGTCCATTCTCACATTGCTATGAAGAAATGCCCGAGACTGGGTAATTAATAGAGAGGTGTGATTGGCTTACAGTTCCACAGGCTGTACAGGAAGCATGATTCTGGCATCTGCTCGGTTTCTGGGGAGGCCTCAGGAAACTTACAGTCATGATGGAAGCAGGACAGAGAACAAGTGGGGGTACCACTTACTTTTAAATGACCAGATCTCAGGAGAACTCCCTCAGGAGAACAGCACTGAGGGATGGTGCTAAACCCTGAGAAGCTCCCCCCATGGTCTGGTCCCCTCCCATCAGGCCCCACCTCCAATACCAGGGATTACAATTCAACAGGAGATCTGGGTGGGAACACGGATCCAAACCATATCACTTGAGAACCAAATGAACTAAATCAGCAGTCCCCAGCCTTTTTGGCACCAAGGGCCAGTCTCCTGAAAGACAATTTTTCCTCAAGTAGGTGGTGGAAGGAAGGGGGATGGTTTTGGAATGATTCCAGCACATTACACTTATTGTGCACTTTATTTCTATTATTATTACATTGTAATATATAAAGAAATAATTATACAACTCACCATCACGTAGAATTAGTGGGAGCCTGAGCTTGTTTTCCTGCAACTAGATGGTCCCATCTGGGGGTGATGGGAGACAGTGACAGATCATCAGGCATTAGATTCTCATAAGGAGCATCAACCTAGATCCCTCGCATGTGCAGTTCACAATAGGGTTCACGCTCCTATGAGAATCTAACGCCACCGCTGATCTGACAGCAGGCGGAGCTCAGGCGGTAATGTGAGCAATAGGGAGTGGCTGAAAAGACAGATGAAGCTTTGCTTGCTTGCCTGCCACTCACCTCCTGCTGTGAGGCCTGATTCCTAACAGGCGTGGACCAGTCAGTACCAGTCCGTGGCCCAGTGGTTGGGGACTCCTGAACTAAATAATTCAAGATCTAAAAGAGACAGCATGTTGGGAATACACTAGTGGAAGTGGAAGCTGTTCCATCAGTAGAGAGAATTCTCACTGAGGCAGGTGGAACCAGGTCACAGAGAGCCTTCGATAGGATGAGATAATGGGCTTTTTAGTTTATTCTATTTAATTGGACCCCATTGGAGCTTTTTACACACTTTCTCCCTCATTTATTTTTAACCAGAGCAACTGGATGGCTGGGGGTGCAATTTGCTTGTAAGAAGGTGGGTACGAGGTGCAGGTAATGGGATGAATCGTGCAGTTTTGGCCACACAAGTTTGAGATGCTCCTCGGATGTCCCAGTGGGGATATGGAGCAGGGGAATTGGTTGCATGGGTCCAGATCTTGGAAAGGATGAGAGGAGGAGAGATTTCAGAATCCCCAGCATATACATGGCGTTTGAGGCCATGGGACCAGCTGAGATCATTTAGGGAGAGACTGGAGAGAGAGAAAGGGTTTGAACATTGAGTGCCGGGGTGTTCTGACATGCAGAGGTCTGGGAAAGAAGGAGCAAAGGAATGGAGAAGTGACCCCTGAGGTAGGCACAGGCAGCGAGTGTGTCCTATAAGCAAGTTGTTTCTAGAGTCTGGGGAAAAGCTTAGGCCAACTTCCATGTTTAAAGCAGAGCAAAGTAAAAACTGACGGGGCATCCAGCCCTTTGAGGAGGGATCTTGCAGTGTTTCAAGTGGCACATACCTTGAATCTTGCCCTAAGCCTTCCCCAGAAGGAACCGGGATCTTTTCCCAAGGCGACTCTGCACTGGTGAAATGGAAATAGCCCAGGCCTTGTAGGAGTTATTACCCACTGCTCCTAAGCATGAAAGACCAAGGTCCACTGCAGAGTGGGGCTTATGAAGACCAGGTGACAGATGGGGTCTTGCTCTGAGTCTGTCTCTCAGTGGGTTCAGTGGGTCTGAACAAGCCTGAAGTTATTTCCCCACTCCCAGAATGCATAGTGTGTATTAGCCATGATTCCAGCTTCTGCAGCTTGATCTTTCAACATCCATTCACCCCACGCGCATATGCCCCTGACCTCCTGCCTGCCTCCTCACCCCTGCTTCTCACTAGAAGGAGTCTTTCTCTTAGGGGTGCAGGTTTGGTTTGGTTTGGTTTGGTTTGGTTTTTGAGATAGAGTTTTGCTCTTGTTGCCCAGGCTGGAGTGCAATGGTGCGATTTCGGCTCACTGCAACCTCCACCTCCCGGGTTCAAGCAATTCCCCTGCCTCAGCCTCCCGAGTAGCTGGGATTACAGGCATGCGCCACCATGCCCAGCTAATTTTGTATTTTTAGTAGAGACGGGGTTTCTCCATGTTGGTCAGGCTGGTCTCGAACTCCCAATCGCAGATGATTCACCCACCTTGGCCTCCCAAAGTTCTGGGATTACAGGTGTGAGCCACTGCACCCGGCAGGGGTGCAGTTTTTTAAATACAAACCGATTGATCCAGAGTTCACAGCCCAACCACCTCCTCTGTCTGACTCTCACACTCCAGGCCGCTCTTGGCTTTCCCAATCGCCCCAGGCCAAGTGCTTGACAACTAGGGACAGCCCCTGTGCCCGCGAGCCGCTGAAATTATTCACACACGCCTGTCCTGAGCCTGTTCATTCTGCCATTCCTTCCCATGGAAACCATGGTAGAGGCTCTGTCCAGGGCTTCCACCCGCCCTGCTCCAGTTCTTCCCCTTCTCTCGAGACCTTTGAGTAGTAAAACTCTTCTTTTACCAGCAGCCATCTCTAGATCTGTTGGCTTTATTAGACCTAAATAACAATAAAACCTATGCAAACATCGTGAGATAGATACACCTAATAACTGACGAAATCCCCATTTTAGCTCGCTGATCCATGGAGTAAAGTCTCTTGTACTCCCCCACTCCCAATATAGTGAATAAAACAATGCCTTTTGTCTGGGAGAATTTCAAGTTTTGGTGGCACCAGTGGCAAACCCAAATGATACAGGGTTGGGGATTGCTGCCTAACCCTATGTCGTCACCCTGTTTGGCAGTTGAAATACTGTTTTCTGTATTCTCAATGTTCTCAATGTCTTCTTGAAAGTCATTATGCAAAATATTGAGCTGGGCCTGGGCACGGTGGCTCGCGCCTATAATCCTAGCACTTTGGGAGGCCGAGGCGGGCGGATCACCCGAGGTCGGGAGTTTGAGACCAGCCTGGCCAACATGGTGAAACCCTATCTCTACTAAAAATACAAAAAATTAGCTGGACTTGGTGGCGTGTGTCTGTAATCCCAGCTACTCGGGAGGCTGAGGCAGGAGAATCACTTGAACCCGGGAGGCGGAGGTAGCAGTGAGCCAAGATTGAACCACTGCAGTCCAGCCTCGGCAACAAGAATGAGACTCCGTCTGAAGAAAAATAAATAAAAATTGAACCGGACAGTTCACTTAGGGACATGTTGCTTGTTTAACGTCTTAGAGCTTCTGTTATGATGGCCATGACGTGTCATTCTACTGCCCACGGTGACCCTCCCACCCCCAACTTCTAGCAGAGAGTACTGGTAGATAGTCATGCTCTTTCCTGCCAAGCCCAGGCACACTTTCAGAATTCCTGTACACCAAGGACCTTGGGCGGGCACTGCTAACCGATCAGACTTGGTTTTCAGGTGAAACCAGAATTGCTGACTAAAGCTTTGCATGTAATGTCTCAGCCAGGGGTAAGTTCACCGAAGAGATGTCATCTAAAGAACAGCGTATCATGATGTTAGCCACAGCATGGTAATCAGAGAGAGCCTGGGACAAATGCTTTGCTGAGTTCCAGAAATTCCACAGAGGCTGGTGGAGTGATCAGCTGGAGTTAAGTCAGGCAGACCTGAGGGAAAATGCTAGCTCTGCCTCTTATAGATTGAGTGATGCTGCAGAAGTCACATGATCATTCTGAGACTGTTTCTTTGTGCGTAAAATGGCGATAATCACACCCATGTTGTAGGGCTTGGGGAAGATTAAATACTATACATATATGTGTGTGTGTGTGTGTGTGTGTATGTGTATGTATGTATGTATGTATATATACACTTTGTACAGAGCCTGAGATACAGTAAGTGTTCTCTACATGGTAGATATTATTATTGTCTTCTTATAAAGGAGAAAAGGGGATTATTTGCTGAGACCTTTAAAAAAATCTCATTCGCTTTTGTGAGTCCACCCTGTCCCCAGAATGATGAGTGACATTTTCCAGACATTATTAGTTTGTCTGAATAGTTTATGAAATTTCCAGGGAACAATATTTTTTAACCATATGTTGACTCTGAGATGTCCTTTTTGCCCCCCAGATTTTAAATATTTCCATCAGAGAACAGGCTACACGTTCTTTGAACATGCTCTGAGTTCCAACTGGGACATTGGGACACTGGGATGTCGGCAGTGAGCCCGAGGCAAATGTCTCTGAACTCCCACTGGTCACTTAGTCTGTGCACCTTCACAGAAGATGACATCTCCGTGGGCCCCCCTCCTCCCTTGCTGTACAGTGGCTTTTCTGTGACCAAGTGGCCCCCTTGGAAGTGGAAGCAAAAGGAAAAGCTCTGGACGGAGGTTCCCCAGCTCCTTGA